AATGTAGGCCCCTCTTGATCTTGAGGCCCTAAGCTGAAGCCTAGTTATAGGAAAATCCAGCCTGCTGGCAGCTCTCCAAGCCAGATAAGGTCTGTGGCTATAAATTCGCCTTTGGAAGACTTTGCTGGATGTGAACGAGAGGAATTCCCAGTAACTTCATAAAAAGGGCTTTTGTTGGGACAAGGAGTCTGCTTCGTGGTCTGGGGAAGCCAAGGTCAGAACAGTTACTTTGTCCACCTTCCTTATGAACCTTCCTACCCAAGGGCAGCTTTTTCATGAGGAACTAAATGCAATCCGTTCTAATCTTGATTGCAGGAAAAATGATTTCAGCAATAGAGTAGTAAATGCGTGGAACACCCTACCTGATCCTTTAGTTAGTTCCTCTAACCCCCATACGTTTTACCTTAAGCTGTCTTCCGTGGACCTTACGCGTTTCTTAAGAGGTCCCTAAGGGGGCGTGCATAAGCTCACCAGCATGCCTACCATCCCTGTCCTACTGTCCCATTTACATGTACTCTTTTTATGTATTTATGGCTATGTTTTGCTTATTTATATCCAATTGTTTGTGCCATTTTTCATGTGTTTTCATACTTGTTTCCCTGTACTTGTTGACAAACAAACAAACAAACAAACGAATGAATGAAGAAAGAAAGAACGTTGTACTTCAGAGTTGCCTTTTACTTACCCCTTTTCAATGCTTCTGGCTTTTTCTCCACTTTCTCTCTCCAGGGCATGGTGATGGATGGAAAAAACGATTTCTTCTCTCTAGATTCTTCCTCCTCGCTCTTGCTTTCGCCTGGTGCTTGGGAGTGGTGAGGACTCCCTTTCCCTTCGCTTTTTCTCCAGCTGGTATCAGGTTCCACTTTGGAGACCCTTTTCCCGATGGGTTCAGTGACGTGAGACCGACGGGGTTTTGTGAGAGGAGATGTAGGCGGTGTTTGGCTGATGGGCTTTGGAGCCAGTGCGGGTTTTGGTGGTAGGGGTGATTTAGAAGCAGATTTTTCTTGACTAGACACAGGCAGAGGACCAGTCGGAGAAGATACAGGCGCAACTATGGTGTAACTGCGACTAATAATCGTTAACGTGGTATTGTCAGAATTAAGCCTGGCGTCTTTTCTGTCTTGGCTCGGAGATTTGCTATCTTTTAAAAATAAAGGTTTCGCATCTTGTTCTCTGTCTGGGGTGAGCGGAGTTGGCAACCCGTCAAAGCTATCTCCTGCACTGTATCTTTTCTTCTTCTTTTGCTCTGCTTGCTGGTCATAGTGAAAACGCAAGGAGTAGTTGGTCCTCCTTAATTTCACTCCAAATGGGGAGACGTTTTCTTCTCCGCCCGGTGAAGCCCGGTCCGGTTTTTTGGAGCCAAGGTTGTGTTGGGTTTCCGTTGCTGGCGAAGTTTCAGTGGCGGGGGAGAGTTCTTTATTTGGAGAATACGGGAGACTTGGGACAAGGAAAGATGGGAGATCTTTGGCAAACTTACATCCCTCCGTATTACCCGCTACTTCCTGACGCCCTCTGATTTTCCCAGGGGAAGTTCCTACGTTCTTTGTACCGGCCGGGGACTCTGCTTGGAGGGCCTCGTTGTCTGAATGCAGAATGGACGGAGTCGGTTGCATCGCTGCATTTTCTGCTTCAGGAAGAGTTTTATTCTCTGCAGCAGTTTTGGACATTTCTGAAAATTTCTGCCATGCGGGAGTTATAGAAAACTTCGCATTTGCAGACAAAGTCTTTCGTAAGTTACCATGGGAAGGACTTCGCCCTTTAGCTGTCCAATCATCACTGTGCCTATTAAGACTTCCACTGTCTTTCTCACTGAATTTCTCGTTTTCCGCACCTTTTAAGATTTTGGAACGAATTGAAGCCCATTCATCCAGGATGGCTTGGTTGTCCACTGAATCTTGGACATGCTTCGCCTTAGCGCTGTTCGGCCTGCCGTCAACAGGTTTCTGGATGCTTTCAGCCTCAGGCGCCTCCGCCGCTTTCTTGTCTTCTGTTAAACCAAGTAAAGATTTGCAGGCTGTATCTTTGATCTGGTTGAGGTTTACTGCAGTGCCACAGAGTTGTGCTCCAGTGACCAAGATTGCTGTGTGGGGAACACATGAAGAAGTTGGAAGAGTAGTGGAACCTCTACTAGACTTAGGGTCCTTAACTTCTTTTGTGGCAGAAGAAAGTGGCGCCTCTTTCACGGGTGTAACTGGACTTAAATTCACTTTGGGAAATATAATTTCTTTTTCTCCAGAAGACACTTGAAAGGTGAAGCCCCTGGACATGGTTTGCCGGGTGTCAACTTCCTGCCAACGTAATTCTTCGCCCAGAACTCTTTCCTGCTCCTCAATGTCAACGTTCATTGCCTGATAAACTCTTAGGCTCCCTTCTTCCTTCCGTTCTTTGCCTGTCTGTGCTCTTTGTTGCTGTCCTGGTTCTTCCTTACGTTGTAGCTCTTTCTCAACAGTTCCCAAACGTTCATCTTCTGGATGCTTCTTCATGTGTAACTGGTGGGATTTCATCTCTTCTTTTGGCTTTTCCAGTGACAGCTGATCTTCTAAAGAGAGGATTTTGTCTCTTTCCAATTGTTGGCCCTCTGTCCTTTGTATACATTCCTCCTGCTGCACCTCCTTTTCAGCCCGCAAATGCCCTATTTCTGCTGGTGCTGTTTTACTGGGTTCTGTTGATCCAACCGATTTTGCCAATTTTTGCTGCTTTTCTTCATTTGTACATTGTTTTTCATTCAGATTTCGCTGTTGCTCTTCTTGTCCCTTCAGTTTCACAGCTGTTCCCTTCTCTTGCTGTTGGTTTCTATCATGTAAATTTTTACTGCTTTCTTGTTCTTTCTTTCCCTGTCTTATTTCTCTTTTTTGCTCTGGAAGTAATTGTTGGTTCAGTTCAGAGAGCTTTTCAGATTGAACTGTTTTAAGTTCTTTCCCCTTCAGCTTTTCCAAATACTGATGGCTTATATTTTCTTCCTGAGCCTTTTGCTTTTCTGGTTCTTCCTTTTTATCCTTCCATCCCTGCTGGATCAGATTGTCATTAAGTTCTGTTTCTTGTTGTCTCTTTTCTTCTTTTGGATCTTTGACTTTCTGCTCTTTCTGTATCGTACAATCTTTATGCTTTTGTTCTTGTTCATATTGTCTCTTCTTTTCCTGCTGTTGCCTTTGGATCTCCAGTTCACTTTGTTTCTTTGCTTCCTCCTTCCTCTGTCTCTGTANGTGTGTGTGTGTGTGCGTGTGTGTGTGTGTGTGTGAGAGAGAGAGAGAGAGAGAGAAATTCTGTACTAAGCTGTGGAGAATCTCTATGCAGACATAGTCTATTATCAAGGTTGTTTTCCCAAAAATTTCTGGACTACTACCTGAACAAAAGTTTACATCTTAATAATCCAGGAAGTATAGCCATTATCTGCTCTATTGTAGTAGTATGGAAGCAAACGAATGAGTATGTCTTGGTATGGCTATGGATCAGAAGCTGAAGCTGAGGCAGAGTTTCATGCTAAACTCCCAGTTTTCCTTTTCATTGCAGCTTGCAGTAATACTGTCATCCTCCAATAATTCTGATCCCTGGGACATTTGGAATTTTGAGAATAATTGTATAATACTAAATGAGAACAATCAACCAGTGGAATAGTTTACCTTCAGACATTGTAGGTGCTTCATTACTGGAGGCTTTTAAGAAAAGACTGGAAAGCCACCTGTCTAAAATGGTACAAGATCTCCTTCTTGAGCAGGGGGGTTGGACTAGAAGACCTCCAAGGTCCCTTCCAGTTCTATTCTGATTGATGTCAGATATGCCTTACCAAAGAAATGCTATGAGTAAATAAATCATCTAGTCACAAAATGGCAGCCATTGTGAGGATGACCAGACCAGAAAGACTACTTTTGATAGCTCCCCACAATAGTCAATCGAGGTTCTCTTTATAGCTAAGTAGGTAGCGATACTTTCAAATAAAATATGGGCTCCAGGCAGCCAATTGTATTTTTTTATATATAATGCTGAGCCTATCCTAGAAATAAAAGATGCTAAAAGATAGCACTTTGCTTTGTGGCATGCCAACTTTTCAATTTGGAGGACTGGATGGGAGGAGGGTTAAAATAACTCAAAGTTAACTGAAAAACTAAAATGCCAGTTGGTACAGAGAAACTGACTGGAACCAATAGAAGGTCAACAGGCACAAGCGATAAATGTCATAAAATTTAAAGCCATGCCATGGTTTTATCTCGGCAGCCTACAACTCCAGGTTCAAAGCTAGAGGTTTACCTCAGCCTGAGTTGCCCACTAAGAAATGTGATTAGACATTTATAATTGTAATTTGTGGCAATTTTTGAAGTGGCCCTTAAGAAATAAGTGCCATTAGTGTTATTATTTCTATTACCTTCTCAGCTCTGTCACGACTTGTTTCACCCAGACATGTGGGACTTAAGGAATCTGGCATCCCAGCTGACTAGAAAAAAATATATATGAAAATCATACAAAACTATTGCAACTTCAGATATATTGCGTAGACTCATATTTTGTAGAAGCACCAAATGCTTTTACATCACAGTCATAATAAGATCCCATTACAATGTTGTTGTTGTAATACCTAATCTAATTCCATTTCAATTTGTCAGACAAATCGACTGAATAAACAGATTTGTTCCCTTCTTTTCCATCTATTTTAAATTGTGAAAGAGGAAGCTGGATTGTAAGCCTAAAAGGATGGATGTTTTTCTATTTTACCTCCCTTTACCTTTCATACAGCTATGGAAAAAAACCCCAGTAAAGTAAGGCTTTTTTCAATTGTGCATTATAAATTCAAATATTCTATTTTTTAAAAAAAAAATGGATTGGGTCAATTGAATGTGCACTATAATCCAAATGTTCTCATCTTTCTTTCATTTTTTAAAAAGTATCCAGTCCTACTAAAAACTCAAGCTAGAGGCAAACATGTATTCACTTGGTCTCCTTCATTAAAAGCCTCTTCCTGTTTTGGGTGCTGTTAAGAACTCTAGGACCATGAGGGCCAAGCTATGGCACGCATGCCCAAAGTGGCACATGAAGCCAGGTCGCGCCCCTGCACATGCGGCCTTGCCTGTTTGTCTTCCGGGTTTCTGGCGGGTTTGTGCATGCAACTATCAGCTGTCCTTTGCACATGCAGCAGTGCCGAAAACTGGTGTGTACAAGCACGCCAACCAGCTGATTGTCAGGCGCAGATGGATGCTAGAACTGAGAAGTTTGGCTTTTCCAAAGTGCACGCTTGACGAGCGTGTGCACGCGAGACATTTCCGTGCGACCTTATTGCCATTTGGTGCCAAAAAGTTTCCCCATCACTGCTTTAGGACTACCACACTGTCTGAAATTCTCCCAAATGCTGGATTTCTTTGCAATACATAATTCATCACCCAGCTAATGTCAACGAACATTTTCTACAAACATATGTGTTCGTTCATTTTGAAGATTGGTAATTGGCTCCTCACCATCAATTAGACTTACTTTGTGGTGGTTCTCTGGAAGGACCGCATCTGGTGGCATCACCGTCTCCATGGGGTTATTCAGCAACACATCTGCTTCCAAACTTCCACTAGCTTCCCCAGGTGTTTTCACAGAGACTGTCATTTGTGGGGGTTGGCCAAATTTAATATTCTTGGCCAACTGTTGCTGAAAATCAAAATGCAGTTGTGTATTAGAAAAGAGAGCAGGGAAAGTAGTGCTGTTCTTAATTAGATAGCTTGGGTTTAGCCATCAAGGGCATTCATGAAGAATTGGTGCCATCTTGACATGAAGAATGTCAAGATGGCACTGAGCCTCAGTGGTGCAGTGGTTAGAATGCAGTATTTCAGGCTAATTCTACCGACTGCCAGCAGTTCGATTCTGAACTGGCTTAAGGTTGACTCAGCCTTCCATCCTTCCAAGGTCCGTAAAATGAGGGCCCAGACTGTTGGGGCAATTGGCTGTAAACCGCTTAGAGAGGGTGATAAAGCACTGTGAAGTGGCATATAAGTCTAAGTGTTATTGCTAGTGCTATAACTAGGTGATAAAAGCCCACCCCTTTTTTAAAGAAGTTTTGTATGTATCACATATGTAAAAGGCAACTACAGCTTGAGATACGCAATCATGTTGACTTTTTAACACACCACGCCTATACACATAAACATATCTATTAGGAACAATGAGATTGTTGTTGTTAGTTGCAAAGTCATATCCGCCCCATTGTGACCCCATGGACAACGTTCCTCCAGGCCTTCCTGTTCTCTACCACCCCCAGAGTCCATTTAAGCTTATGCCTACTGCTTCGGTGACTCCATCCAGCCCCCTCATTCTCTGCCATCCCCTTCTTCTTTCGCCCTCAGTCTTTCTCAGCATTAGGCTCTTCTCCAGTGAGTCCTGGAGGCATTATTAGGTATAATGAGATATCAATATTAAAATATTAGGTGAAAGAGAAAGTAATTTCCACAAGAAGTAATATAATGTGGGGATCAACCATCCATACAGCCTTATCAGTTTCAAGGGGCTACCCTAGTTTTGAAAGGATTTTTCTGGGTACAATGTACCACATAATGGTGAGCTCCCTCCCTGTCAGTTAAAATAAACTTCTATTTTTAAAAAAAGTCCAATTATCTTGAGATTTCATTCGAAAATACCAGAATCTTAAGAGGATCTCGCAAGAATGGGAAAATCTTGATTGATCAGGTTAGGCTTCAACTTTCCCGAACCTTCACAAAAGGACAATGCAAAAATCTTATGAGATTAGTGGTTTTTAGCAATTTGGGACATGCATTTTTTTCTTTTTGGTGTCTGAGCTAGAGTTTGAGGATACAGAAAGGCAGCTAAGCCTGACTCACAAATTGCAGTTCAGCTGATAAGAATTGGACTGTCATTCTATGTTCTTCAAGCAATGTCCACTCTTTCACTCTTTGTCCAGACTTCCTAATGTGGTACCCATACCTGATAATGATACATTGGCATTTAACTCTCAGCATCTCAAGAGTAAGAGGACATCTCTTCAGGTAGCTGAATGCCTATATCCTGCTTCCAGGGTTGGGCTTCAAAAATTTCAGCAACGGGTTCTCTGTCCGGTTGCTGGGTGGGCGTGGCCTAGTTGGCTTCCTGAACCACGGTGGGTGGGTGGGTTCACCGACAAATGCGCGATAGACATATGCGCACTGACAAAACCGTGACGGACAAATGAGCGCTGTCAAAATTGCTAATTGATTTTCGACAATAGCGCGCCGACAAATGCGTGCCGACCAAATCGCGACAAAACCCTAACCCTAAAATTTTTCCAATTTTATTGTGCTTGTCATCGCACTTTTGTCATCATGCTTTTGTCATCGCGAATTTGTCATCGCGAATTTGTCATCGCGATTTTGACCTCACATTTTAATCGGCGCTATTTTGTCAGTGCGCATATGTCTATCGTGCAATTGTTGGGTCACGGGGTGGGTGGGTGTTTACTCATCTCATATTATACCAGAGGCATTGCACTGTTCGTAGATGTCTTCAGTTATCTTTTAATTTAGCAATGAGTTTCAGTACTTAAGAGGAATCCCTTCCCTATCCATTATTTTTATAAGTGGTACAGGGGTGGGTTTCTCGCCCCGTTCCAACCGGTTCGGTTGGAACGGGGCCGGCGGCATCCTCGTGCACGCGCGCAGTGCACGCATCCATACTAGCGCCTGTGCGACGCTCCATGCGACGCTGTATGCGTTCTGCGCATGCGTGGAAGCGCAGAACACGTCAAAACCGGGTAAGAAATGCGGGCGGGCGGGTGGATCCTTCGGCGTTCCCGGAAGTTACTTACTTACTTCCGGGTTCGCCGACCAACCGGTTTGCGGGGACCGCCGTGAACCGCCTGAAACCCACCCCTGAAGTGGTACCAAAAGGAATGAACAGGTGGACGCACACTTTTTCTAAGAATTAAACTGTCTTAGAATATATTGAGTGGGCAAGTGGGTACGTTAGTATTCCTATCTTCAAATTACTAGTTGAATCAAGCTCAGCTGGGAGAAGAGACACTGCCAATTATTTTTATTTTCTAAATTACAGGGAAATTTTCCGTAAGGTCTCATCTTGCTGTCTGTCATTGGATGTGTGACAACGCATAGGAAATGAATGCTCAAATGGCAGGGTAAATAATCTCCTGGTTTTTTTCAAAACAGAAGTATTCCTCTAAGCAGAAGAAAACAAGACGCACAATGAAAAATTATACAAAATTAGAACAATATCTTCTATTATGTCAAGGTTTCAAAATGCTTCCTGCTAGATTTAACCCTCAAGCACGGCGTGAAAAATAACAAAGCAGATTTAATTGTGTGTATATGTATGCGTGTTGAGTTGATCTCTGATGACGCCATCCATGAACTCTTCCCAACAGAGCTGCATAATTGATGTGACATTTTCTTCTCCCAAAATGTTATCTTTTTTTTATTTTTACACTTATTCAATAACTCCTCAATCCGAGCAACACTCAGCAATAACTCTGCTGAGTTTTGGAGCTCAGTCAAGGTTGCCGAGAAGCAGAGGAAGAAAGCAGTAGCATTATCTAATTGCAAGACACTCCAAGCAGCTCCATTTTGGGCCTTCCACAAACTCTTTGATATTTAGAGTACTTTCAGATTTTATCTTAGATTAGGCGATAACCCAGCATTGCCTGGGTATTTATTTATTCTAATCCATACATTTGTCTTCAAAAATAATCCCAGACCAAACATACTTTCTAATGTTGGATTTCCCCCCCTATCAGATGGAGCCCCCTTCTGGAGTACTGTGAAGCCGTTACCATGGCACTGTACAGTAGAAGCCATTTTATGGCAGTACGGTAGAAGCCATTTTAAGGCACAACAGGCTGTATCTTAACAGAACACACAACCCGAGGGGTATTGGGGGTGTCTTACCCCCCACAGTATTTGTTTCCAGAGGGTAAGTTATCTGTATACCAAGTTTGGTTGAAATTGCTCAATAATAGCAATAGCAGTAGACTTATATACCGCTTCATAGGCCTTTCAGGCCTCTCTAAGCGGTTTACAGAGAGTCAGCATATTGCCCCCAACAATCNTGTCTCTTTTGTTCTTCCTCCCGCTGTCTCTGCAGTTCTAGCTCACGTTGTCTCTTTTGCTCTGCTTCCCGCTGTCTTTGAATCTCCAGTTCATGTTGTTTCCTTGCTTCTTCCTGATGTTGCCTTTGGACCTCCAATTCGCATTGTCTTTTCTGTTCTTCCTCATGCTGTCTTTGGACCTCCCGCTCGAGTTGCCTCTTTGCTTCTTCCTGTTGCTGCCTTTGGAACTGCAGTTCGCATTGTCTCTTATGTTCTTCCTCCTGCTTTTTTTGTAATTCGCGTTCACGTTGTCTCCTTGCTTCTTCCGGCTGTCTTTGTAGTCCCATTTCACATTGTCTCTTTTGTTCTTCCTGCTGTCGTCTTTGGACCTCTAGTTCACCCTGTCTTTTTGCTTCTACCTGCTGCCTTTGTGCCTCTGGTTCTTGTTGCTTCTTCTTTTTCTCCTTCTGCCATTGCGTGACCATTTCACATGGTTTCCACTCTTCCTGCTGTCTTTGTGCCTCTAGTTCATGTTGTGCCTGTTCTTGATCCCTGTGTTTTTGTTCCTCAAGATCCTGAGATTTTTGGGGGATTTGTGCCTGTAATTTTTCAGGCCCTTCTCCATGCCTTCCCTGATTTTCTTGTTCTTGTAGCCCTTTTGTCTGATGATCTTGGTCTTTTTTCTCCTCCATTTGATAAAGATGTTCTTCCTGAAGTTTCAGTTTCTTCCCCACTTGTTCTCCATGGCTTCCCTCAAATTCTTGAAGTCTTTTGTGTTCCATAGGGATTTTGAATTTTGTTTCAGCCATTTGTTCCTTCTTCCCTGCCTCAAGGTTTATCCAGTAGTCTTGTTTTCGCTTTCCTTCAGTTTTCAGTTCCTGGACTTCTCCATGCTGGGTTAACTTCTCTGGTTTGTAATAGCTATCATCTTTTGTCACTTTATCTTCAGTGCCCTGTGATTCTAGGAAGTCTTGTCCAAAGTCAGCCTCTATTAAACTTTGTACCTCCTGGAATTGGGAAATAAAAATAGATTTACTTAATGCAGTAGAAGGCTATTAGAATCCAATTCCTATTTTATATAAATCTTTTTTTTTTGCATAGAAAATTTTTATTTTCCATTTTCATAGTATATAATCACATGTATACTATTACATAGTCAATATCATGTTGTATTATTAAGTAATTACATCAATTCATCTTNTTTTTTTTTCACATTCAAAACCTGTGACAATTGGCATTTTATATTGGTTAAGAAGAAATAAAATAATACATTAATAGGCCTCCAGAGTGCAAAATGACACTTTGAGAGAGTCCAGTATGAAGAATTAAGGAAAAAGGTAGTGAAGTACTTCTGCAGTTGGATGCCGTAGTTTCACAAAATAATTTTCGAATGGATTTTTAAAAAAAACTAGGGTAGGATTTTTTTCTGTTTTTTGTTTTCTTAACATGTAAAATAAGTATACTAACATCTAAAAGAATCTCAGTGTTTCTTCTCCTTTTCTCTTTGTCAGAGAAAGTTAGTGCATCAATCTGCTGGTCCTTTTTTTGAAGACAACATTTTTTGGGGAGATATTCCTTGTTCTTTCATAAAAGTTGATTTTTTTTATTTGAATTTGAATGTTTAAATTTGCAAAGATATAATAATCATCTTTCCAAAAATCCTGGATCACCACTTTCATTCATTTTCAAGCGTTGCCAAGGGACAGATTCGGAAAGGTTGATTTTGAGCCCTGTTTTTCGAGCATCTTCAGGTTCTGGCATTTCTCTGCCATCTTCAGCTCTATCGTGGTGTTTTTATTCCACCAAAATCTTTGGGGGAGGTTAACCTTCAGATAGATATCAACAGTGGGCCTCCTACTTTATGTATGTTATGGTGTTGCCTGCTCAAGAATTCTGAATATTGAAAAAGGCTTCTGAATGGATTTATTGTTGTGAACAGTATGGGCTTTTCAAAGGAAATTGTTCAATGCATTCCTCTCTATTAAAGAAACGTATTGTAATCTGCAGGAGTTTAAACGGCATAAAGCCACTAAGGAAATAAACAAGCCAGCTGGAATACACTATGTTTTTATCTGGCTTTATTGAGATTTCCTTACAATAGAATATTTGCCATAGCTATCTATTAGGGATGTCAGCATAAACATGTAAAGCAGTGGTGGAATTCAGCCAGTTCACACCTATTCGGGAGAACCGGTTGGTAACTTTCTAAGTAGTTCAGANAGCCAACATTTTGGTTGCTAAGCAAGAGCGTTGTTAAGTGAGTTTCACCACATTTTACAAGTTGGCCACGCCCACCCAGTCACATGGCTGGCAAATTGCTCATGATTCTTTGAGATTTTCCCCAACAGATTTATAAAAGTTTCCGCTCCAGTAGAACATTTGTAGCACAGGGGTGAACTGTGGAGTCCTTGGTGTTCTCTAAGCTTGGTGGTTTTGCTTGTAGTCATTTCATTATCAGGCTAGGTAAATCTTTAGTACTACCAAATATTAGTATTACTTAGTATAAGCAAATGGGAATGCTCTGTAGTAGCTTGCCCTATCAGTATAGGAGGGAAAGTGGAGGCATGTGCTTTTCTTTTCGGTAGCTTCTTGATTAGGACATTATTTTCTGTTAAGATTGTTTTGTCTGGTGTTAATCCCTGCTTATCTGAGTGGCGGTTGCTATGGAGGATACCTTTTTGTTTCCTCTTTAGCTTTTTATTGTCTCTTTTAAATGATGTGTAAATATCATTTATCTCTTTGATATGTACGTTTTTGAAGTCTAAGTACATTTCTTTTACAGATGAATAGGGAAAAAAAAGATACATGTTGAATGTCGGCCTGCCAATAAAATAGTGGAACCTGGCAGGTATGATTTTATTTCTGAGAAATGATCATCATATATAGCAGGGCAGTGAATCTCCCAAATTGTGTGAGGCTGGTTCACATCCATAAATACCAGTTGAAGTGTAACATTGAAAGATTCGAAGGTAACCTAATATTCTTAGAGGAGGTCTGTGTCTTACAATCAGCAGCTAAAATTCTGACCTCCGTAAGGAATCCGTTCAATACCTTTGACAATCTGTGCTTTTTGGAAAGCCTCTGATTCTTTGGCCTGACTGAGAGTTTGTGCTTTGCCGCACTGTTGTCCAGACAAGAAATGGCTAAAGGGATGGCATCAAGGTTGACAGTTTCGATGGTTCCAGAAGGGGAATGGTGTCTTTTTGGCCGAGATGACACTTTGACAGGCGTCCCCTAGAGAAACCCCAAGAAAAGGGGAAAAAAAATTATGGAAAGAAACGAGATCCTGTATTTAAAACAAAACAAATTCCAAATCCAGTAACCGCTCTAGAAATTTTGATTTTTTTTTTTGATTTTATTGACATTTGTAGGCCGCCCTTTTCCCTGAGGGGACTCAGGGCGGCTCACATAAAATCAGGGAAGG